TCTAAAAATATCGAAACCATACTTTGCTTATAATAAGACTCAAAGTCGACCGCGAAATATCCTCGAACGAAGGAATCGCAATAATTAAAAAAAAAAAAAAAAATACCACGGTTAAAAGGACAAAAACCGCGACATTAAATTTATTGACAATTACGCGAATCATCAATGCTTCCTGAGTATATGTGTGTGTGTCACTTTCTTTTTATTTCTCTTTAATCGTGTGCGAAACCGTGCTTCTGAAATTATGTGTAAACCGGTTTCGTTTCCGAAGCCGTGTATCTGTAGACGGAAACGCCAATAACTTTGCTAGCAATCTCTCCCGTGAAAAAAAAAAAAAAAAAAAAAAATGCGCGATGAGCGCAGAAACAGGATTCGCGAAGTTATTACGAATCTCTCGCGCACTTGCGTCAATCTCTATACTTATCATTATACCGTTGTGCATTTTTTGTCACTGCGGTGAGGTATCGTTCTTATCAAAAAAGAGTTTGACCTAGGTCATTTCACTTTTTTCCCTGTCTCCATTTTGAATTTTTTATACAATTTCCATCTCGCATGTATAGTTCTCATTCATCAATTTTAACAGCCGATATTGAATTTTGCAAAAATGTTTTGACAACTTGCAAAGATTAAATGATTCTTTTATATTTAATTAATTTTTTGATAGGTATAATAATTTAAAAGGAATTAAAAAGTATGAATTTTTATAATTTTGTCATGATGCTGATTTTATTATTACTATGTATATTGATGATAGAAATAACCACAAAAATGGTGAAACTTATATAGCAAAACGTATATACATATTAATTATCTTAAATCACATCGTTCATATTTAAACTAGTTAAAGTAACATGATGACAACAATATTATTATATTTTCTTATATCGGAATATCGAAACAAGTTTTGGAAGATTAATGCAGCGTTTAAATCGACTTGAAACATGCAGATCGTAACGCGTTTGCCAATTTCACAATCGAATACATCTAGTTGCAACTCTGAATGATGCAATTCGCTGCACTCAAAGTTACGATAGCTTCATAAATACTTATTCACGAAAGAATAATTTATGTTATAAACGTAGCTTAATTACATCCATACCGTTATAAATATAGTTTAATGATTAAGTGAAACAAATTATGATTATTAATCATAAAAATGCTTATGCACGGTATAAGAAATAATTTTAGTCTTAATTAACTTCTTTTCTGTTAAAACCCATTTTATAAATAGCGTGACCGAAACGGGACTTAAAACGGGCTCTAGATTCTTTTCACCTTAGAGTCACGTTCCCCCTTTAATCCTCTTTCATCTGACATTAATACGCTCGTATTTTGACGCGTATTTTTATCCGCTGCACACGTAGAAACACAATCTTTGCGCGATATCACACCGTGATCAATCACGGACGGCGACACAGGCACGTCTGACATGCATATGACAACGGCAGTTACACGTGTCAGAATCACCGGTCCGTTTTGCCAAAAGCCTGAGGAGCGAAAAGAAGAGCCGCGTCGGCATAAATCTTGCATGAGCAATTTACTCGGAAGAATATAAAGAGACATCGCGTCGGGTTTCCCAGACCCTCCCCCTGATATACATTCTTCTCCTCTACCCTTTTCACCTCCATCTCTATCATTATTTCGTTCTTTATCATTATTTTCGTATCTTTCGTTATGCGTATAACGAGTATAATAAATGTATATACGTACACAGAGAGAATTTTCTCTTGGAATTTACCCTGAAAATCATGGCAATCGTGTATGACAATATGGTATTGGAAGAATAATAAATTTTATAAATTATAAATTTTACTAAGAATTTACTGCGTACATAGTAAATTTTATCATGTACATATTAATATTTTTATTGTGGTAAAAATTAATCAGAGAAGCTCTTATAAGATTCTTCCAATACCATATTGTCGCACGATTACTTTTCTGATTAATATTTAGCACAAAAAAATATTAATATGTACATAGTAAAATTTACTATGCACATAATAAATTCTTAGTAAATTGTACATATTAATATTTTTATTGTGGTAAATATTAATCAGAGAAACTCATAAGATTTTTCCAATACCATATTGTCGCACGATTACTTCTCTGATTCTCTGATTAATATTTATTACAAAAAATTATTAAAATTATTAATATTTTTATTGTGGTAAATATTAATCAGAGAAACTCTTAAAGATTCTTCCAATACCATATTGTCGCACGATTACTTCTCTGATTAATATTTCTCTGATTCTCTGATTAATATTTACCACAAAAAATATTAATATGTACATAGTAAAATTTACTATTAATATTTTTATTGTGGTAAATATTAATCAGAGAAACTCTTAAAGATTCTTCCAATACCATATTATCGCACGATTACTTCTATGATTAATATTTCTCTGATTCTCTGATTAATATTTATTACAAAAAATTATTAAAATTATTAATATTTTTATTGTGGTAAATATTAATCAGAGAAACTCTTATAAGATTCTACCAATACCACATTGTCGCACGATTAGCATGATTTTCAGGGTAAATTCTAAGATAAAATTCTCTCTGTGCAATGCAACGTGTGTCACACGTGCAGGGTCGTTTCTTGACAGTCGTGCAATTATTTTCCTCCTTTTTCACGTTTCTTCCCATACGCTTTCGTTCGTAATTCCATGGTTAGCCGGATAATAGTTACGTAACCGTCGACGCACAGTCCCGCGCTCTTCCGCGCTCGGTGCAGAGTGCAAACCAGCTAATCGTCAAATATTTGCTGAGCCGTATTGCAACGTTTCCGCCGCTATCTCGCTCTCTGCGCCTCTTACACACGCTCATCCCGCCTCTTGTCTTATCCGTCTGTTTGTGCACGCGTGACGAATGCTTGCGCAGCAGCAGCGGAGCGATATCGTCATCGTACGCTCAAGCACGACGACCACGGCCAACAGAATTTTCTCGAGGAGTCCCTGACCATCCGTACCACCCACCCTCTGGACCCCCGGTAGACGAGAACGGCGACACAAGTGCTCGAGAGAAATGTGCTTTCGAAAAAACATGCGTCGACAGACACAAGGAATTAAGTACATAATTATGCGTAATTGCTGTTGCTGTTGTGATGATTTACTCTGAGATTTTAATCATTATATAAATATTAAAGAGAGATAAAAGATGTATGTATGTATGTATGATTGTCTGCATAATGCACTTTAAATAGCATATCTGCAGCCGGCGTAATTTTATTATTTCGATGAGACAATTTATCTCCGATGCAATAATTTCAACTATATATATATATATATATATATATGCAGCTGATAACTCTTTTAGTTCTCCGTAAAAAGATTAGCATTTTATCGCTGTTCTATATGACATAGAGTATTCAGATAAAAACATTCAATACTCGGGCATATATAATATACACATATATAATGTGTCGTTATTAATAGAAGATGAGAAAACGAAGTTTACGCTTCGGTTTTTGAAAATCGACAAGTCGTCGGTTCACGGTTGGCCGCTTATCGTACAGGTGCCGATAAGCGGATAAAGGTCAGAGAGTAGAACAACGTGGACAGGCACCTCTCGCGATATAGGAGAGTTATACGACGAGTTAAATATAAAAGCGCCGTGTGTGTGACACCGACTGTGCGTGAAATTGTTTAGACGCCGACGTGTGTACGCATCTCTCTCGTTATTCACGCTGTTTCTCTGTTGGGCGTTGATAATTTTATTTAATGACCGAAGTCCGTGCTCAAAGTAAACGCACGTATATAGAAGAAACGCGGCAATGTTATCGAAAAGAATTGTTATATTAATAAATTATCGTTAAAAAAAGAAATGACAGATATTTATAAAAACGTGGCTATTATTTTTGATCCTAGTAGCCTTTTTCTAGACATCGAATATTGGATTACATTATGTCAAAGATTTAGAGAATAATATTAGCTCTCGATTTATGTCGCGAGAAAGGAAGAGAAGAAACACACACTTTTCGCGCGAAACACCTCTCGATGTGTGTTTCGTTTTAAGAGAATACTAAACGCACTCAACGCTTATGAATATTTACTGGCGGGAATCACTCGACAAACGCGACCTCCTCGCTCTTCTTCGTTGCAGGCAAATAATGGCGACTCCACGATAAGAGCTGTAAAATCGTGGCGTTTCCTGCGAAAGCGCGCGATGTGCGCCGCGCCGTAAAAATCATTCCGGCGTATAATAAATTGCTTTAGCGATTCCCGGCGACGTGGCGTAAGAAAGTTTTCCGGCGAGAGAAAGAGAAAGAGGACGAGAAGTCCGCTGGAAAATATCCCGCGACTACTGTTTTTCGGTACCCGGCAGCTCGTACATACGCTTATACTACTACTTTGCTCGAGATGTTTGCCGTGAGAATATCAATCGCGGTTGAGATCGTCGGCTCATCCTCAATCGTGAGCACGTACTCGCCGGACATACCGGCCAATTATCACACCGATGCGACGGTCGTTATGATCATCGAGAACAAATAACCGGCGATTGTTGCAAAGCCGCTCCCCATTGGCCGGGTTCGATACGCGAACGTTGACCGCGCGTCGAAAATATCGTTGAAAAAAATATTTCTGTCAAATTACACGATTATGCCGGATTTTTTTCGACCCAGCATAATCATGCTGAAGATTACAGATTATATGTAATTTTATATGAAAAAAATTTTTATTTAATATTCCACTGAACGTGGAAATACATATACGAAATGCTATACGATAATATTATAAATAAAATGGGTAAACGTTTATAAAATAAAGTTCTAATAAAGTAATTTTTTTCATTTTGAATAAGTAATTTCCATGTAAAAGTGCAGCAAACTTTCGGGAATATTAAATTATAAATCGCCAACCTTCATCGAGAATCCTTCTTGGGAGGATTGTTATACAGGAAGAAACATATGCTAATCTTCTGTAAAGCTTTTTACAGCCGAATGTCTCTCTCCAGGCGGAATTCTTAATGTATGCGTCATGGTTTTTTCGTTGCAGGACAGCGAACATCTAATCACGGTCGCGCACTTGTCGGACTACAACATCTACAGGATACCGAACGCCAAGCGAGTGTTCGGTGCACCCTTCGAGTGGGGTGTCTGCTTGAGACCGAACAGCAACGCCGAAGCTGAGGACACGGAGGCTGGGGAGCCCGGGATCAAGGTCATTACTTTCGAAAACGAAAAATCGCGCGCCTGCTGGCTCACAGCCATGAGACTCGCTAAGGTAAGCAACACAATTTCTCATTCTCGTCTCGTCGAATCGACGTGTTTTACTCGAATATAATACGATTTAGCAACTCGAGTGCATCGCAACTTCGAGTATTCGAACGTTTAAATGTCACTTTGTTACATAAAACGCACTCTTTTCGAGTATCGATTAGAATTACAATGTTGTTTCCGTATCGGTTTTGCACAAAGAGAATTTTCTCTTCAAATTTACCCCGAAAATTATAATAATCGTGGGACATTATGGTATTGGAAGAATTATAGAAGAGTTTTTCTGATTAATATTTACCACAATAAGATATAAAAAACACTCAATTAATTTTACTTTTATTAATATTTTTATTGTGGTAAATATTAATCGGAGAAACTTTTATAAATTTTCTTCCAACACCATATATTATCCCACGATTACCACGATTAATTCTAAGAGAAAATTCTCTCCATGTAGGTTAATTCTCCGTGAAAAATTGAACACACCGAGGGAATAACTCAATAATAAATAATTTGAGAACGGAGAGCAAGCCAATAGTAATTAGAGAATTTAAATGCTAAGGTAATCGCTTACGTACACTATCGCTAGGGCTACTCGGGGTTTCTCAGCCGATTCTGCGTCCGATCGACTCTTCACTCTCTCCTCCACCACGATGTGATCATCCCTCTGCGGACGAGCCGTGGGTATTATTAGCTCCGCGATGGAGAGCCGGGTATAATGAGCCTTATTTTCTTTTCTTTCCTCCGCCCGCCGACTCGAATGTCGAAACTCCTTCGTGAAGCTCAAAGAAGTTGCGTGACTCGCGCGTCGTTCGTGTTTAACGGAGCGAGAGAGAAAGAGAAAGAAACACTTCATTCCGTCGACGTGTGTACATATTATACGTCACACAGGCTCGGCACGTTTCGCATGGCGAAATTTTTTTCCTCGTCTTTTTTTTTAGAGTAGCCACTGACACCGTACACTTTTCTTTCTGGGGTTTTATTTTTTTGACGTGAATCGGGGCTGGTGAGACACCGCGGCTCTCGTTTCCCATCGTCGTCGATAATATCGGTTTATTCTCGAGCGCAGACAGCCTTTGTCTTCCTCTCTCTTTCTTTCTCTTCTATTCTCTTCTCTCTCTCTCAGTCGAGCCAAGTGCTCGCCGATGGAAGAGAGTAACTCGTGGTTACTAACGGGTTTTCGCTGGCAACGCGCAATCGGGAGTTACGCCGATGAGAGAGAAAGAGAGAGGCACCAGACTACGGTCGCCTATTCTACATTACTCCTCGGAGGCCTGCCTATTCTTCCTCGAGCTCAAGTGCCTGCTCAGACTGTCTCTCAAATCCGGACGGGCTTCAGGAAGCATCGCTCTCCCGGAATAATAATCGTGCTCGCAAAGTAAATTAAGAATAAAAAAAAAAAGCAACACACAGCTCTGTGTATTTAATAATGATTGATCTATGTAGGCTTATATATCGTACGAAATAAAATCTCACGATCATTCTTTATACCGCACATTTAAATTAATCGAACTAATCGATTTTTGTAACACACAAACACGTGAATAATCTTATTAGATTTACATCGCGCTATCTCTGACAAGGGTTTCTTTCATCATTATAACTTGCTTCCATTCCGGAGCAACACTCGTCGGGATGACAATCTAATCTGCCGCGGGACGTAATTTGGGGACCCTGTGCACCGGAGGATCGCAAGCCAATCTCCCCCGATGCATCCTCGAGGGTCTCCAGAGGGTCTCCATACGTCTATACTACCGTGTGGCCGCTGGCGAGACTGGCCTAGTGTTTATCGGCCTCGTTGGCCGTCCATGCCTGTCTGCGTCTTCTGCTCGAGCTATCTCGCTCCGGATTTACTATGCGTGCGCTCGTGTCTTCTCTCTCTCTCTCTCTCTCTAGAGAGAGCTCTGCCTTTATCCGAAGGGAAAAGGACGACGCCGTCCTGGTCTTGGTAACTCTAGGTAGTACTTACGCGTGTCTCAGCGCGAGAGGCCTTTGTAACTCTTTCATCCGAGAAAAAGCTAGGAGTGTGATGAGATGCGGCGAACGAGAAACATTGTAGAAGACAGAAGGGAGATGAAAAGAGAGAACAAACCCTCGGAGAGAAAACCTGCAGGACTCGCTTTGATCGAGAAGACATTAACACTCCTGCTTATCCCCTTTGTACTCCTCTTGGTTTCTCTACCGTCATCGTCCATCTTTTCCCTTCGTTCCTTTTCCTTCGTCGCATTTCAATTTTCCCGATTCACCTCAATGAAAATCTATGAGGTCTAACAATGTTGATTCGCGAGGGTCGGAAAAGCCTGGACTTTTGAATTCTTCGTATTTGACAATTGAAGAAATATTAATAGAATCTATTATTTGTATAATCGAATTTGTCGCACGAGTAAATATCAAAATAAAAACCAAGATTAATATGTCTCTCTATTAATGTATGACGAAAGCAATAATGACACGTTTCTCGTACGATCAATTTAAAATCGTTCCATTAATTTAAAATCAGATTTCTTGCGAGCAGACGAGAAGAAATCGAGATCGCGAAGATTGTACCGTTACCGGGCATTAATAAAGTATTGTTAGGTACTTGACAATACAATTCTCGGTTTTCGTCTGTCACGCATATAAAATGATAACGGTAATGAGAAAGCGAATAGATTGCAAAGCGATGATAGCTGCAGATAAAGTTAAGCCGTAAATATCGAGTCGCTTTCTAGTCGATTGTACGTATCGAGCTTTATATCCTCGAGAGTTTTTTTTTTTTTACCACAGAAAGAAATTATAATTATCTGTCGCACATACACACACGCGAGAAAGATTGTACCAACTTGCAGTGTCATTCAATTATAAGAGAAATACGTGGTGATCCCTTGCGCGGCAACTTTTTAGCTGTAATTGCTTTTAGCTCACGAAGATGTAATCTTACGCGATATCGAAGGGTTCGACGTGGCATTATCCTTCGTTTACTTAGAGACTCAGCTCTACCTCGTTATCGCTCTCCGTTACCCTATCGCTGATTAGTGTTAGCATACATTCGCGCTTTACCGCTTTCCACGTTGGCGGGTTTCCCATCTACATTTGCGAATAATTGAATTACGTAATTATCTCTCCAAATGCGCGCTCCAGGGCCGTCTTCAATTAGTCGCTGCCGCCCTTCGTATCCACCCCGTTCTTTACCGAAACGCGAAAATGGCGAGTTCGGACTTTGTTTATCTTGCGTCGAACGAGATGTGCGACTGACAGTCGAAGTGAAATTGACAGCGCAGACGGATTTAATTTTTTTTTTTTAATATATATTATATTGAGAGTTTGAAAAATGTGCGTTGTATGAACGTAATAAAATGTAGAATCTCCAAGAGTCGGTGAGTCTATTTTTGCTGTTGCTAGGCGAGCCTTAGGCGATTGCAAAGCTCACCGGCATAATTTTCGTACCGCGAGATGCAAGCTACACAGCCCGCATTGGTATATTAGCAATCCGCATGTACGTATTGGTGCACGGATAACGTGTACGGGGTGCGTATGTCTGCGTGAGCAGTCATTCGAGCGTAGATGTGCCCGGCTGTCTTGTGGGTCGATACGATGGCTATACCGCTACTGCTGGGTCCATGGTTATGCACACGCTCACGTGGCACCGTCTGCTTCTCTCGTCTTGTCTCGTCTCGTTCCTCACATTCACATCTATTTCAACGTGAATTACAACCGCCAAATGTTATTAGCTTCGAAAAATTTGTTGGTTTTTTTTCCGGCAGTGTTTTTTTAGAAATCTGATGGATTTTTCGTTTAAAACGACTGGCTGGTATTTTTCTGATATTCTGATAAATAAAATTCTTTCTCTCTCTAGTTATAAATATAAGAGCTGTTTTTGTGTTTGACTGAATTTAGGAGAAAGAGCAATTTTGCGAATGGACGAGATTTATAGGAGTTCTGAATTGAACAAGGAAGTAAACTTCTTTCGTAAGACAGCTTTGCTGCAAATGATTGTGCCTCGACATGTCGGCGAGATCAGAAACTTGGAAGAACTTGCAGGAAATAATCTTTGATTCAACTACGAAACTATTCCCTCCATATAGATATAGTACTTCTCGATGAAAAAGATTGTTCGTTTCGATCGAATATTTTTTCTGCATTCGTAAATCGCTTGTGACAAACCGGGATTACAGTTTGTTCAAGCTGAAAATTGATATCTTGTTCAAAAGTAAAGTATGCATATATATAATCATCAAGATGTTAGTATATCTATTTTCTATTTCAATATAACTCAAATCACACGAATAATGAAAAATGATATATAATTATTTTCAACACAAATGATATATTATATAACATTAAAGCCAACTTTTTCTTTTACCTATCTTACCATTTTGCTTACTCTTTATTCTTCCTGAAATATCTCAATTACACTCGAGACTACTTTGACGTATGAAAAAGTCAGGAAGGAAGGTACTAAATAGTCGAAAAAATGAACCCGAGGAATACTTTGGAATTTTCCGGTCGCTCGGCAACGTTGAACTTATCTAGGCGAGTGCGATATACCTCGGCAGGCGATGTATCGATCGGAGGTCAGCCTCGTACAGCTGGGCAACACGCGCGAATCGACTGGTCGGCTGGCGACAAAAGAACGCGTGTATAATTATGTAAATCACGGGGATGCGGTTTATTTATCTTTTTCCTCCGCCTTTATCAGCCTCGAGAATGTGTTCCGCAATGCGCCCGGAGCGGAGAATCGGTTCATGCGGCGCGCGCGCGTGCATTTGTCCGTCGCGTGCGTGCATCTCGTCAATTGTAGTGCGCGCGTTAATGGTGCTCGCTCTGCTTTGCGTTGTTCCAGTACGGCAAACAGCTCCGAGAGAATTACCGAGCCTTCAAGAACAAGCAGTGCGAGCAGAACAGCAGTGGCAGCCCCAAAGAACAGTACAGCAGCTACAATGTGTCCAACGTAAGTGCTACATGTATATGATTTCGCGCTTTGAGGTACAAGGACCTAAGCCATGAATAACAAATTTTAGAGGATTAAAAACATTTGAAAATTCAAATTAAATCAGTCATTTGTTCACTCAATTTTTTTATAAATATATACGGCTCAAGTCTTCGTATCGTTTTCAGCATTTTAATTATACGTACACAGAAAGAATTTACCACGAAAATCATGGTAATCGTAAGACAATATGATATTGGAAGAATCTTATAAGAATTTCTCTGATTAATATATTTATGACAAAAAAATATTAATATGTACATAGTAAAATTTACTAAGAATTTACTATCTACATATTAATATTTTTATTGTGATAAATATATTGATCAGAGAAACTCTTGTAAGATTCTTCCAATACCATATATTGTCGCACGATTACCTATCGTTTTCAGCATTTTAATTATACCTACACAGAGAGAATTTACCCTGAAAATCATGGTAATCGTAAGACAATATGATATTGGAAGAATCTTATAAGAATTTCTCTGATTAATATATTTATGACAAAAAAATATTAATATGTACATAGTAAAATTTACTAAGAATTTACTATCTACATATTAATATTTTTATTGTGATAAATATATTAATCGGAGAAACTCTTGCAAGATTCTTCCAATACCATATTGTCGCACGATCACCAGGATTTTCAGGATAATAATTGCGGAATAAAATTCGCGAAGAGAGAACAGAGCGCATGTCGATAATTCGTCACGACGCGCGAGTAAAATAAAATACTTACGAGACTGTGTCTCGTGGCGAGAATTATTTGTACGTCGCGCGCGATGTATTTTCGATGGGCCACTCTCTCAGCCTCGGATATGCTCGAAAGGTAAATTTCGCTTTAGACGTGGTAAATGGAATGGAAGAGGCGATTACGTTGAAATTACCTCGAGTGACAGTAATTTGCCGGGTCACGCCACGTTCGATTATTGCCTTCAGTCATCCCTTTTCCTGCACGAGCCGTCGTCTCTCGTCGAACTTTCATAGCGTCTACGGGATCTTGATTAACTCGTGCAATCCCGGAGCTTTTCAACGTCTTCTTTCGATTAACACTTTCTTGCCTCTCTTTACTTTCTCTTTTATTCGATTCTTGTTTTCATTATCGTATCACTATTACACATTCGTCATATTACCTATTAATTATACATACATACATACATACGCTTGTGATAATTTCGACAAAGAATTATATTGAATTATAATTACGTATGCATATAATTCTTTGTCGAAATTATCCCCTTTTACAAGCGAAATAAATAGATCCATTTAATAATTTATATTAATATTCCGATAAATATCGCTCGCAGGCAAATTGCATTATTGTTCTCCACGGTCGCGCGTGCATTTATCGATTCCCTAATTGATATACTGAAATATAAGGAAATTCATTGCTAATGAATGGACGAACAGTAGAACCGGCTAGCATATAGCATAACGATGTGGCGCGCTTGCTGACGATGCTGTTAGCGGCTAAATAATTATAGCAAATAGCTCGTTAGCTATTGATCTTTAATGCGAAATTCCGCGCGAAATATGCGGGAATTGCTGAGCCACTCCCGGTCGAGATTCTACTTTGCTTGTGTGTGCGTTCGTTACTTCGAGTGCACAGGCGCATAGTTCTCTCTTGCCATCTCTCTCTCTCTCTCTCATACGTCCTATTTATACAATGGTTAAACTATGGCAACGCAAATCACCGCAATTGCCGCGACTAACAGATATCATATATCGTCGATTTTATCACGGCCGTGATAATAAATTCACCGATTCACGATCGATTCTCTCACGAATGCGATTCCTTGCTAAAGAGAGAGAGAGAGAGAGAGAGGGAAAAAAACGACGCAATTTAATTTTTGCACGAAAGATTATCGACTAATTATTGAGTCATCGGTTATTATGTTTTGCTTGATTCGCTTAGCTATTACAGCAATTAAATTATTATCTATGTAAAATCTGTTTTGAGAAATAATTATAGAAATTGCAGGAAACACCAAGCAAAAACTATTTAGAGTTGATAGAATTTAATAAGTGAATTTACATTTATCTCACGATCAATTCTTGTGTGAATAGAGATGGTTTTGATGAAGAATTTTCAGACATTATTGTCATATTATATATAAACTTTGAGACACCTTAAACAAGCACATTTCAATAAATAAATAATATCGACTTTTAACGTGACGGTTAAAATTATCTCGGAAATTAACGAAACGTATAATGTAAACGGATAATAAAATAAAACAGATATGTGGAAATCGATTAAAACGTAAAAAGAGATGTGGAAGGGGTATTTTTCTCTTTATAATTGCGTTTATGAATAATTTTTACCGTACTTCTCTCGTTCGACGAAAATTAATAGCTCAGCAGCGTCCATTATCGGACACATATCATTAATTATCGAACATCTGTTATTCACGACATATATTTTGACTGGTACAATATATAAATATCTGACAGAAACAAATAATAGAGAAACTTTGCGCAGAAAATCAATCGGAAACAGAATTAAAAGCAAAGACGTTAAAGGAAGACTGACATATATCTTACGAGACGCGATCTGGAGAACAAATTTTCTCGGAGAAGTACCGTCATAACTTACGTAAAGAATGCCAAGAAGGATCCATCCCCATCGAATCTCACTGACCTCATTGTCGTGCCATCCCCGACCTCGTCGAGATATAGGCTCTCTCTTTCTCCCTTTACGATATTCTTCGCGTCCTCCTACGCGCTAAGACGTCTCGCCCGGTAGGAAATTTCATCCTCGTATCGCACAGCTGATTCCAAGGTCGTGCCAGCCAGCTAGAGGGACGACAACCCCTCGTCGGTGTGTACTCTCGAAGCTAGACACGTACCGGTCTGCAGCGTCCCTCGTTCACCCTTTCATCGACTGACTTATTTTCTCTTCCATCTCTTTTTTTTTTTTTTTCTTCTCGTCGGGGAGATAAAAAGCTCTAGCTTCTTCTCATTATAATTTCCGTAGCCGGCGTTTCTCTCGGGGAAATATTTTCCATTTTATCACTTTATCGTTAAAACCGCGAGATTTGCATCATCCAGAATTGTATGAGTAATATAAAAGTGATTCGAGATAAACTCTATCGGTTATTAAAATATGCGTTTTCTTCTCTAGACGTGATACGTAAAGAAACAAAGTGAAATTGGTATATTAAAGATGAAGCTGTGAAATTTTTGTATACGGAATTTTAGAGAGAAATTTTTAAAGATATTCAATTCTTTGTTATTAAATATTTATATTTTTTATAATAAATCGAGATACTCTGACTTTTTTTATTTATATAATCCGCTTTCAAAATTTTTCATGAATATAAATGATTTTTTTTTTTTATTTATATATAGCTTTTGTTTTTTTCTGTATACAATATCGGCAGCTTATCGAAATATTTTAATCTTTTAATTGTATGACGTACTTTTTTTGTGGAACGCCTAACAGTTACAATAATATTCGCGGAACCTCCACGAGGAAAGAAATATCGATTAGGCGAAGCGGGCGTTAGATATATATTATCGAGTCGTTTCGAAGAACTGGTTTTGAAATAGCGATCTTAACAAGCTTCCGGCAATAAATTATCGTTCGTGCCGGTTATGAATTACCTTACTCGAAGTAGCACGGAGGATGACAATTAAAGCCTAGTGTGGAAAATAACCGGTATTACGCGCTTAATGCGCGAAAGTGCAAGGAAAAATTTGTTCACAAAATAAACATAATTGATAGGGGCGGTTTGACATGCGTTTCAACGACAATCTCGAGTAATAACACGAAATTATGCTCTTTTAGATAATATTGAGATAATTATAAATCGCAAGACAATTGATTTTTTTCTAGTGACAGATGTCAAATTTAATTAACAAATAATTAACAAAATTTAAAAAAAAAAAATTTTTTTAATTTTTTTATTAAATTTAATTAACAAATAATTAACAAAATTTGAAAAAAAAAAAATTTTTTTTAATCAATCGGTTCCGATATTTCGACAGAGATGCCGAAAATAGGAAGCGGAGATTCAGGGAGGATCTAAAAATAATCATCGCGAGAAAAACAGACGACAAGAGGGAAGTGCACGTGGTGGAGAAGCGAAGATGAAACTTGGAACGATTTTCTTCGAAGTCTCTCGTACGTTGCACATTTTAGCGAAGGGGTTGCAACCGAAAGAGCGCGAACGTGTCTTGCACTTCGTTTCGGTTGAAAGCTTCAATCATGGATATATCGCGTTCGTTCGTGTCCCGGCTTTTATCTTTATTCGAAGGGAAACAAAAGTGCGCCTCGCGTCGTGTCGAACCGACAGGGCAAACTTCGCATTTTCCGTCTCCCGCTGTTTCTATTCTTCACGTTTCACGTAATTGCACATTCAAATTGATAGATTGAAACTCGGGAGTAAAGTTTCGTGCCAATGTAGCCGCGCGCGGATTTAATCTCCTGAATTTGAAAAGATTTTATATCAGTAAGATAAAATAACACAAAAATACCTTAAACACGTTATGTTTTTTATATTGACAAAAATTTTTGAAAAACTACAGATTATTATACATAATGTAAATTTGTAAAATTGACAACTCGCATCAAAATCAATTTGCGTAATCAAACTGAACGATCTGTATTATTTTTGATTCGTAAATTTCTCTTTGTTATAAACTGATTTGAAACTTTCTCGACAATATCGATCATTTAGTCATCGATCAATCTATTCGCCGTCATCACATCATCTCGTCCAACCGACTACTTAACGAGTATCCCCGACGTTTAACAGATCGTTCGCGGTTGACGTGAAAGCATAGTCGCTTTTAGTCAGACATTATATTTCCCTTATAATGGTGCGATAGCCGACTTGGATACCGGAAATGTTGGAAGTATCTAACAGCGACGTTCTTTTCCGTTTTTCCCCTATGCGGAAAGCCTCGGCATTGTTACACGGCCGTCGATCCTCCCGTCGTTCATTTAAATTCAA